TGTGTGTGTGTGTGTGTGTGTGTGTGTGTGTGTGTGTGTGTGTGTGTCTTCCCTCTGCTCTTAGATAAACCCTCTGCTATGTTCTGGAACAGAAACTCCTATGTAGCTTTGTCCTTTTTAATGTTTAAAATAGATGGGACATATAGATGGAACATATAAACTGCAGTGATTCTATAGGGAATTTAACTTTCTAAACCCATTTGTTCACTGTTGGGGGTTGGTCTGATGCTTGTATTTTGATGCTAATTACTGGCCCTCAAGAGTTGCTTCCTGCCCTTTCCCTGTTGTGTAAAGCTGCCTGAGACATCATTTCTGATTGGCTAATAAATAGGCCTGTACCTGGGCAGGGTAGAAGGAGGTAGGCATGGGTAAGGATTCTAGGTTTGAGGGCTGGAGAATCACAGGAAAGGAGACAGATAGACTGGAAGAGGGGAAAGAAGAAGAAGTAACAATAGGTCAGCGTGGAAAAGGAACCATGTGGGCTGGAAGGAAGTACTCCGAAAGTAGCCTGGAAAGCAGTGATCCAGATGAAGAATAAGCAAGTAATTAAAAGATTATGGATGGAAGGTAGCCGAGATAAGAATGGTTAGGAAGGATGGCATTAGATGGGGGCTGGGAGGTGGTAGATGGTGAGGTTACTGAAATAGCATAAGTGGAAATATCTGTCCAGCCAAAGGAAGTTGTTATAAGGCAATTATAAAATTGAGCAGGTGTCTGTGTCTTATTGATTTTGGTAGTGTAATACTGCTGTAATAATTATAGGGTTAATAATAAACAGTTAGCCAGGTACCATTTAACTTACTACAACAGCTCACTAAGAATACAGGAACCTTTTGGCTAATGGAAGGTACTAAGAAAGTTAGACAAAGACAGAGGAGTGTTCCTCTCTAACACTGCTGGGGGAAAAAAAAATCATACATTGTGCATACTTTTAGCCCTTTGAGACTGAGGACCAGAAAATGGTTACTAAAGACCCAGCAGAAGTCAGAAGAGCAGAACAAGCACTGAACACCTGCACTATGTAACAGGCTTTCCCATCTGTATGCCCAAGATCTCTTGTCTACAATGCCTCAGGTTTCCGCACTATAGGCCCATGTCAATCTAAGTACTTCTGAGCACTTGGCACATGTCAATGCTGTGCTGGGAACATGAAATGCATGGGCTGCCCCTGTCTAGACAACTTATCCATGTGCAGCAAATAATCATTTGGGCTGCAACGCCTTTTGCAAAGAAAATATGTCTGTTATACAACAGTGCCCTGTGCAGGCGATCCCCAATGCCTGGAGAATCGGTGGTTTACTCAAGGGACCCCACGAAGAGCAAAGGAGCAAAGTGAACACAGCTCATGGCTACAGCCACCTTTGCTCACAGTCTTTAGCCCAACCTTTTCTCCTGACCATGTGTTTCTTAATCAATGTCCTTTTAAATTAGCTCAGTTGCTGGAGCCCAGTTTGGAGTGACAGGAAGTGAGAATGTGATATGCCCAAGCAACAGTAACAAGTAATTACCCAGTCTAGTTCAAATTTTCTCCTACCTTAAAGGGTTATCTGAATGGGTCTCCATGTGGGTCTCCAGTCCATACTTGCAAACAAACTCTTTGAAACACACTGGACAGTGAAAGATTTCGTTGGTCATCTTCTCCAAATCACCCGACTGCCCATCTTCTACCATCTTAGGAAAGAGCAAAGAGTGGCATCACCAAGGTGGTCTCCCACAGAGGTTTACTTTAGAAGAAAGCCTAATGTTAGTCTAGAAGGTTCTAAGAAGTATGTTCTTGACTCAGTATCAAGGTCTGACGGACCATCCATGCACTTTACTCAGGGAACACTATCACTATGCTACCACCCAGCCTGTTACTACCCATCCCTCAGTTCCCTCATCTAATCAACAAGTCCTAATGGAACACAGCTATCTGCAAGAGCATCAGTAATAAACACAAGAACAAAAAGAGTCCCTAATGCTGACGAAGCTTCCACTTCAGATCCATGGACAAAAGGCATGGGAGCAACTTTGGAAATTCTTCATTTCATCCATGTACTACATGGGGCTTCTAAAGAGAAAGCACGCTAGGCATGCTGGCACATGCCTGTAACCCCAGCACTTGGAGACCCCACTCTCATCTCCCCCTTTTCCTGCTGAGCAGTGGTAGATACGCCTATATCCCAGCACTCGGGAGGCAGAGGTAGGCAGATCTTTGTGAGTTTGAGGCCAGCCTGGTCTACAGAGCGAGTCCAGGACAGCCGAGGCTGTTACACAGAGAAACCCCATCTGGAAAGAAAAAGCATATATAATATATATATATATATATGCTGTTTCCCAGATACTTTATAAAAACAGTGGAGGAAATACAGATCAAAAAGCCCAGGATTAGTATCTTCCAAGTTTCCACACCGCGGTAATAAAGGCTAGGGGTATTTCTGCCAGAATCTACATGATGGAGCACAGCTGTGCTGTAAACTCAGAGACCTTTTTAGCTGGTGCTGAGTCTTCTCTCTCTGACTCGGCATCATGACTCAGTTTCCTTTTGGAGGACAAGCGCCTACGCTTCAGAGGGGATGGAGGGGCTGCAGCTGTAGTACTGTTGGTGTCCTTCTCATGAATCTTCATATGTCTAGAAGGAAGACACACACAGGAAACGTGATTTCACAACCGAAACAACAACAACAACAACAACAAAGCCACAGTACTTTAAAAATATTATATGTAGGCAGGGGTACTTATAATTTTCTCATCAGTCGTCACTACTGTTTTGAAATGTTGGGGGTACAATCAACTATTTTGTACACTCTAGGTAACTGCTCTCATGCTGAGCAACACCACATCCCTAAACTTTATTAGTTAAGGGCGTCATTTCTATAGTGCCTTCACTCTTCACTAGACGATGGAAAAAACTATAAGGTGATTCACTGTACTTGGACAAAAGCCTATTTTAGGACACATGATTTCTATATTATAAAGAACTCCCAGGTCCTTAAATAGTTCCATCAAATCGTGCACCAAGCCCCAGTTCTGTACTAGCCCTAGCTCTGTACTAGAAACTACCTTCTGCCTATCAGCTGTACCTGTCCTTCTCTACCTGTAGAAGCATTTGCAGCTGTCAAATTGGATGTGGACAGAGCACATGTCCAGAGTGCTTAAGACCTCTGTGGAATAACAGACCATAAGACCACCTGGACAGCAAAAGGAATGCATTATATGTTATAACTCTGTTAGCTATGGAACTAGGGTACACACAGCAAAAAAGCACTATAAGTAATTTGCCAGTTCCAAAAGGCTAGGCAAGTGCTCTATAGTGGAATTTTATCACATCTATTATAATTTCTTTTTCTTTTTGAGACAGGGCCTCTCTGTCTCCAGTTAGTCTTTCACACTACAGTCAACACAGACCTTTAATTTGTGATCCTTCTGCTTCAGTCTCCAAAGTTAGCTGGGATTATATGATGGCACCATTAAGCCTAGTTCCAAGAAGTTCTAAGAGTGGGAAAAGAGCATTTCTCATGCACTGTCCCCTCACTCTGAAAAGCAGCTTAGCTTGTGTTCCTCAGAGACCTTCTTAAAAGGAGACAGGCTGAGTATGAAAAGTCCAAGCAGTTTGTGAACCAGTGGCAGGCCACCCGCAAAGGCTGATCAAGCCAGAGATTTGAGGTGGTCGGGATGCTGTTTCCTACACTCAGCCCCTGTCCTACAGGATCAAGTATGTGGCAGGGTGATGCTACAGAGTGTCCCAGGATCGTTTCTTTCTGTCTCATGCTCACTCTAGAATTAGAACCTGCTGTCTAGACTACAGCCACCGCAGCCTGCTGAAGACAGCCTTTCTTGAAGACAAAGAACAGAGGTACATGTGCTATATGATTCACCCCAATTTAAGAAATGTTAAGTTCTGAAAAAGATAATTCTATGATTTGAAAAAAACTGATTTACAAAGGAGATCAATTAGTATCAATCCTGCCTTTCCATACATTTTAATTAAGTTAGCCAAATAAATATTCCTTTCTATACTCAAAGTCAGTAAAAACAAACAAACAAACAAAAACTAGAAATTAGGGAACGATGGCTGTAAACATCGGCTCATTTCAGGCTGTATATTCCCCATGGTAATATAAACACACACGGCAACATTACATTATTCCGCCCTCAGGATTTATGAGAGAAACAACAGACAGGAAGGAGGGTCTGGAACCAGCATTTAGTGAGGGCCTCGTCAGAACATCATATAGATGACTGTGTCTATTCTGCAGATGGAGCAGTTCTGATGCAGGGAGGCCAGGCCTCTTCAGGCAGCATGAGCTACAGTACAACTATTCTGACACCATGGTCTTCCTACTAAGCAAGACTGCCTCTAAAGGCCACAACAGGTAGTGAGTTCTGTTCTGGATCACCTGCTGGAAACTCAGGACCATAACCTGAACCTATGCACTTTCTCACTGGCTTCTTGTGGCACAAGCAGAAGAGCAGATATCAAACTTTTTGCAAAGTCTATCAAGAGACAGGAGAGGTGAGGGCAGGCCCAGAATACACTCGACCTCTAGCCTCGATCACGGACTGCAGAAAGCTCCACCACAGTGTTACACTTTTAACAGCGGAAGTGCTAAGGGCACAGGGTGGAGGTAGCAGTCAAAGCAGAGCTTCTGGGGCACTTGAAGGCTAGATGGACAAAGCAACCCATTCTCCTCCTCTCACATTCCCACTGGGACTTCAGAGTCAAAATCCAAGTAAGCTTCCGTCTAGGGTGAAACCTCTGGCTGCAGGTACATTATGGGGAGTTCCCAATTTGTTCTGCTAGTTCCACAATGACAACAGTGGCAGGTGACTCAAGATCTCAAGTCAGTCACCAGCTAGACAGTTTTAGCCAAGTCTCACCTGGCTCTACTTCCCTATCCTCTAAAGGCAGGGATGGCAACTCCAGCTGCACATTTCCTTCCAAAGGCTCATAAGGACATAGGTGAGTCATCTCAATGAGCCAGTAATGGCCTCTTCCTGTCAAGTTTGGGTCATAGTTGTGAGGATGGGCAGAGAAGATAGAACTCTTACTTCTGGTCCTTAAAAGGCCAGAGTCTGTTTTCTTCCTAGATCGTATCTCATTTCCATGTACCCCAAACCAATGAAGGCCAATGAGCACTGAGCTCACCGATGTTATCCAGCTGCCCACCCAGAGCATGAAGTCCCCTTCCAACCAAGCAGAGCGTGCGTTCTCCAGTTTCACCTGCATACATCCAGCCACACGGATGTCTCTACCTTCACCAGATGTTCTCACTGTACAGCTCTGTCTTCGCCACACCAGCCTGAAATTCCTCTCTTGCTTTAAAGTGTCCTCAGGGGCAACACAGTGACAGTTTACACTATTTTCCACAGGACAGCTCTTCAAATGGCACAGAAGGATTATAGCGTTTCATTTGTCCAGGTTCTCTCTTCGTACAAGTCTGAGGAATCACAGAGGTCACTACCTGATCTTAGAGGAGGTGCTTATCAACATCGGTACCACACTGGATCCAGAGCACACACTGTGATACACAGACGACCAGACATTATGGGAGAGTAGACTGACTGGGTTCTGTTGAGCAAGTGTGCTTACCTGACACATTCTAAAGATCTTGTGAACTAAGATACCTGTTTCCTAAAATCAAACCCATAATAAGCCTTCTCTGTTCTTCCCTTGAATGATTTAATTGAAATCTTCCCATTTTCCAGACTGACAAAGATGATAAATTTGATAATCATATTTTTACAAGGTAGCTGAGTACCACAAATCAGAATTGTAAATATGTACACATCCATGACCCTAAGTGCACTTACAGTTCTTGTCAAGCATGTAAGTACATTTGAGTGTACATGTGCAACCCTGCACACACATAGAAGTCGGAGGACAACCCTGAGTTCTGGTCCTCAACTTCCACCTTGCTCAACACAGGGTCTCCTCTCGCTCCCTGCTTTGCCCTGCCTGACTAGCTGGCCTGCACGCTTCTAGAGGGTCTCCTGCCTCAACCTATCTTAGGGGAGTGGCATGCTGGGAAGACATGTGTTAAGAGGCAATAGCAACCGGAGTTTGATCTGGAACTCGTTCTCCTCTAACACCTGACACCAACCTCCCAACGTCATAAATGTGGGGGTGGGGGGCACGCTGTGCCTATGCGTAACACTGGACAAACTGTCTACCTACAGCAACGTCATGTGCTAGCCACAGTATCTTTCCTCTTGCCCTTCCTGCGACTCATCCTCAAAACAGGATAAGGGTGATTTCTAAAACAGCTAACATTATACCCTCTCTTGTCTTAGGGTTTCTACTGCTGTGAGGAAACAACCAGGACCAAAAATCAAGTTGGAGAGGAAAGGGTTTATTTGGCTTACAATTCCAGATTATAGTCCATTATTGGAGGAAGTCAGGACAGGATCTCAACCTGGAGGCAGGAACTGGTGCAGAAGTGCTACTTACTGGCTTGCTTCCCATGGCTTGCTAGGCTTGGCCTGCTTTCCTATAGAACTCAGGACACCAGCCCAGGGATGGTACCACCCACCATGAGCTGGGCCCGTCCCCATTGCTGATGACTCTAGTCTGGGTCAAGATGACACAAAACCAGCCAGTATATCTCTCCTGCTTAAATTCTTCTGAATTCCAAATTATTCTTAAGAGTCAAATGTGATTCTACATTCACCTATTTCCTGAGGCTCAGTGGTGGGCACCCTAGCTTCCTCACTGAAGGCCCTTAAAAGGCAGGTTAGCTTTCCCAAGATACCCTAAACTCAACCAGTAAACTGACTTGGGAGGCCCAGATGTTCCCACACCTTCTGCCTAGGAAGTGTTAGCCCAGGGCTTCCTAGATGTGGCTTCACCTATTTAGGTTTTATATCATGCAGTTCCTCCCATGAGGCCTTAAGGCTCTACATGCTACCTCTATAGATTGTCAAGTGTACTACCCAGTTTTACTTGAACACACAGGAGAATCCAAAGCTATCATGTATTCAATTTGATCCTGGGCTATCAACCAAACACGAGTTTTACTGCTATAAGAGCCTGTTTCCTCTTGGTCTCCACACTATCCCCTGAGACAAGGAATACCCACCACATGGCTGGAGGGATGAAGAAACAAAAGTGTCAAATCAAGGAATGAACAAATGAAGAATGAAGTATAGGAAGAAATCATTTTAGCCAGAGAATCACTGTAGCAGCCATCTTCAAGTTTCACTTGAATTGACCTTACTAACATGTGATGTGAATGGACTTGCTGTCTGACTGTAAAGTATAGAGAGTGCTGTACCACAGGCATTTTAATGGAAACCATGCAGAAACCGAATGCTGAAAATAGAGGTTGACTTTTTCCTGTTATTAGAACTAATCAACTAGTTGTAATCAGAGTACTGCCTCTATTCGAAAGAGGTTAATATACATCCAAAGCATACTTTTGCTATTGCATAAAATTCTAGAATTTTCCTTTAGAGGTTAGATACATTAACAGTAATAACCCTGGCTGCACTGCAGTCTAAATGGGCACTTTTGTTAACATTTCTAGAATCAGAAAATTTCTCCACCAAAACCTAGTGAAATTCTTTAGCCCTTTGGGTACAGTCTTGGCTACCAGGTTGTTGGATATGGCATCAAGCCTCTCACAGTCACCT